TTTTTCCACTACCACCTGGACCATCCAAGAAAAAGCATTTGGGGTGTACAGTTTGATCTTCGATGGCTGAAGTTATAGTCTGAAAGGCTGCCAACTGTTCATCATTCAGAGAATTTATCAAAACCTGTGCCTATTGTCGCTCATATGATTCATCACATGTATTTGTATTCATTAATGAAGGATAGTCTGGAAGTTTGAAATGTGAACATTTCATTCCATGCAATGTGAATACCTCTTGAATTTCGTTAAGGGCATGCATTTTACAGTTTACACAGGCACCTTCTCTTCGGTGTGATTTGGGCGCCGCCATCTTGTGTTATGGGATTCCCGCCTCTGCTGTGGGGGCTGCCATTTTGTTACAGTGTGATGGTCAATTTGCATATTCCCTCTTTATTAGATAGGATATTTCAGAAAACATGTGCAAACAGGAGAGGCCAGGGGTAGTACTAGTATATCCTAACAGCCATCATATTGGATAATGCAGCTCTAACCCACCATGTGACTTTGGGTAAAACTCTCAACTTCTCAGTGCTTCACTCTCCTTATCTATAAAGTGGGATGAAAAAATACCCACCTCAAAGGGTAAAGCTCTTCATACCCATCAGTGATTCCTGGGTCTGGAACATGGACCTAAGCATAGTGCCAAATCACACAGCACCATAGGAGCCAGGACCTGAGTCAGGAACATCCATGGTGGCAATTTTCCAAGGTTAAGAAAGTGCAGGTTCCACCCCTGAATTCAAGAGGTCAGGATTGTCTGTCCCCTCCTCCTGGGTCAGAGGTGTATGATTCAACTGCCAGGGTCAGGTCCCTGGGTCTAGCAAGGGGTTTGCCTAACATTGCAGGAAAGATGCTGCCTCATCTCTCACCATCTCCTTTTAAAGGAAAGACACAGAGAGTGGTGGAAAGCCAGGCTGAGACCATGGCAGGTGCACATGGACATACTCAATCACATACCTGGCAAGTAGGGACCGAGCCTGCCAGAGGCTGAGTGATGATAGCGACAGACACCAGCCCAGTGGACATCAATCAAACTGGACCAGGTCTCTGCACTTCTGGAGTTCAGGGTCTAAAGGGGGAAACAGAGACACTGAGACAGAGATAATGAGATAGGCACATACACACACAGATTATCAGAGAGGATCCTAGAAACATCCTCCGAGTGAAGACAGAGCTAGAGAAAGAAAGAGAACTGCTGGCACTGGTCAGAGCAATCAGAGATCCAGGGACCCAAATGTCCCCCCAGCCAGGTCTCAGTCCCTCTGTCTTTTTCCACCTACCCCTCCACCTCAGAGTCTCACCAGTTCTGTGTCCCTCCCCACTCCTCTGTCTCTCTCGTCATTCCCATCTGTAGCTGCTACAGAAAGGAGGGTGAAGGAAGAGGTCTGGAGATAGACACTGAGCACCCAAAGGCCCTACAAACACAGGATGAGAAGGTGCACAAACACACAAGCACACACAAGGACACACACCACCAGCACCATGCAAAAGCAAACACCCCTTCACATATGAATCCATAGCAATACATGTAAGCCTGTGCACATGCAAAATATCTACATAAGCACATGCAGACTCATACACAAAACACACTTGCACATGCACATCAATACAAATACCCCTTCACATAAAAAATCATACAAGTGCACACAGATGCAAGCAGGCATGGGCAGATATGCAAGCATAAACACACAAACAAGGCCACAACAAGTAGAAAGTGCATACTCACCCGTACCCCCAAAATAAACACGTGAGCTCTCACGAACACTCATGCTGACCTTTGTAACCACCACAGTGTCTCTGTCAACATCTGGGGAGCGGTTGCTGAGGTAGGGAGAAAGCAAGTTACTGGACAGGAAGTATGGGCCCTTTAGAACCTCTCTTTCAAGTTCACGCTCCTGGACAATGTCAGAGGGGAGGCGGGGAATAGATAAAGTTACATAACTGGGTGAGGAGGCAGGATCAGGATAAAAGGTCCAAGTTGAGATTGCAGTGGGCTGGAAGGCAGTCAGATTGGGACCATGGAGCTCAGTGTCCTCCTCCTCCTTGCTCTCATCACAGGACTATTGATTCTCCTGGCCAGGGGCCACCCAAAGGCACATGGCCACCTTCCGCCAGGCCCCCGTCCTCTGCCCTTCTTCGGGAACCTTCTGCAGATGGACAGACGAGGCCTACTCAAATCCTTCCTGAGGGTGAGATGCAGATGGATGGGTTGGAGAGTGACTTCCCGTCTCCGTATTTGGGGATCATTTACTAGAAGGAGTAAGGCATCCTTCCAGGCTCAGGGGTGGGGGGTGTGAAGGTTGGTGAGTAAGAGGCAGGCAGCTGAAGCACAGTAGATGGTGGTCAGATAGTCAGAGACGTCTTGTTCACTGGGAATTGTGTGCCACTATCTCTGGAGTGAGCAAATGGGGATGAAGAGGTGTCTGGATATGAGCCTGGGTGTAGCATTTCACATCTTTTGCCACCTTCTGTCAAGTTCCTGGGTGCCTGCCCCCCGGATGAGAGAAAAGGGGGCAGTGTCATTAGTCAAATAGGCTTCTCCTCTGTCAACAAAAGAAAAGGAAAGACTGGTTCATATCAGCACCAGGACAATGGGAGGGGGAGGGGGGCAGGAGGCCAGGTACAGAGGGCTTACCAATAATGCACATTAATGTGCTATCCATAACAGCTGACACTACGGAGGATTTACTGGGCTCTGCATCACTGTTTCCCAGGCATGACTTTGTGTCTTGTTACCTATTTAGTTATTAGTAATGTAATCTACCCCATGAACTCACCTCTCAATGGGAGAACAGGAGCACTGACAGTAACTTCCAAATTACCTTTGCTTTTAACAGAGAGAGTTTTATCACATATGTGGAAGCCCCAAGTATGTGTGATTTGGTTCTCATTGTCTTCAATGTACCACAGGGTACCATGCTTTCCTATAAATTCCTGGACTTAGTTTCTTCATTCAGAATTAAGTGGCTGGGATTTGCCTATATTGTTGTGGGAACTCACCAGGTCTCACTTACAACAATCCTGTGGGCTAGGTGAGGTGCTAACCCCATCTTAGAGATGAGGACAGTGAGGCTTAGCTTGGGGAAGGCACTGTCCACAGCCACACAGCTGGGACTTCTCAGAGGGGAAGCTTGGGTCCAGCAGGGAGGGCTCTCCTCTCCGGTGCCCTCAGAGACTGAAACTGCCTAACAGTTTGGGAATCACTAAATTTTTTGAGAATCTCATTAAACCTTTATGCTCCCTCCCAATATCCACACACATCATTGCAAAAATTTGAGAGTTTCAGATCCCCAAAGCTCTTCTAGGGGTTCATGATCCTCATGAGGAGAGAGAGAGAGAGAGAGAGAGAGAGAGAGAGAGAATGAGCTAGTGGGTGCCATGATGAGACGGTGTGGTGAAGGTGGCACGGCTCCTCCTCCATTCCCCTACATGTGCTCAAATCCTTCTGGACTCAGGCTTGAACTCGTGTTCCAGATTCAACTGTTACTCATTGAGTCTCAGTTTCCTCTTCTGTAAAACGCTAGTGACAATAAAAATGTGTCCCTCTTAAAACTGTGAGGATGAGATGGGGTATTGCATAGGGTCTGGTGTATAGTAAATGCTCATTAAATGGCAGTTCCTTTGATCCACTCATTCATTTATTCACTCATTAAATACTAGATTACTGGGCACCTTCTGTTTGCTGGGGAATATTCTAGGTGTCGCATTGGACAGAGCATACAAGTAAGGAAATGAACAAATGAGGTAGACAAGAGCTATGATTGAAACTACTTTAGATTGAGTTGTGAGGAAAAGGCTCAATCCTGCTTTGTTTCTGGGCAGAGACACAGAAAGATGCAGGAAGAAGGCATCAGAGAGAGGCAGGTGCAAGAACCCTGAAAAATGAGCAAGTTCAGAATCTTGAGGGACAACATGGGGGGTGGGATCTGAGTGAACAAAGGGACCATTGGGGGGAGATGCAGAGGGGTGATGAGGCCACTTCATGCAGGGCTATGTGGACCATGGTGGAGACTTCAGCTTTTATTCTCAGTGAGGTGGGAGCACTGGAGGATTTGGAGCAGGTCAGTGACATTAATTTCCATTTTAATAGGATGACTCTGATGTCAGGGTAGGGAGGGATAGATGATGAAATGATTGTAGATGGGAAAGAGTGGGAGTAGAGAGACCAGTGAGGTTTTGCAGAGATCAGTGTGAGAGATTTTTCATAAAAATCACAAAACTTAAACTTTTATGATTGTAAGTAAACTTTTAAAAAAATATATTTTTATCGATTTCAGAGAGGACGGGAGAGGGGGAGAGAGATAGAAACATCAATGATGAGAGAGTCATTGATTGGCTGCCTCCTACATGCTCCCTACTGGAGATCAAGCTCACAACTCGGGCATGTACCCTTGACCAGAATTGAACCTGGGACCCTTCAGTCCGCAAGCCGACGCTCTATCCACTGAGCCAAACCGCTAGGGCTGTAAGTCAACTTTTTACTGTTTAAAATCATCCTAAGAAGTGCACAAATCATAAGTGCTCAGCTCAGTGAATTTTCTACAATATACGTGCAGATCAGTAACAACATGGCCCATCCCCAGATACCCCACTCGCATCCCCATCCAGTCACTACCTTCCCACTATCCTGAGACCATAAGTTCATGTTATCTGTTTTTCAACTTCATGTAAATAGAATTATCATGTTTGGACTCTTTTGTGTTTAATTTTGCTCAGCATTATGCCTGTGTGCTTTATTCATGTTGTTGGGTATTGCAGTAGTATGTTCTTTTCACTGCTGTTTAGCATTCCATGGTATGGACACATATTGATGGTGATGAGCATTGTATTAATAAGGTTTCAGTCTCCTTGTCCTGTGTTTTGGTGAACACAAGCACACATTTTTGGGACATGTGCCTGAAATTAAGTTGATGAGTCACTAAGTAGACATGTGAACTTTTAGCTTCAGTAAATACCACTGAGCAGTTTCCAAAGTGGCTGTACTGATGTTATGATTTTTTCAGATCTCATGATCGCCACCAGAGGGCCATCCCTTTCTCTTCCTGTCTATCACAGGGCTGGCTGTTCAGGGTATTTCTCTGGGGAAATTGTCAGGATGCAGACAGCAGGTTGAAGTGGGTCACAAAAGGATGATCCTTTAGTTGTGATGCCAGAGAAATCTGGCCAGACTTAAGGATATGGGCAGGGGTGATATTAGAGATATTTAACCACCTATACTACTCGGGGCACCAATCAATCACGCAGTCCCTGGCTAGGTGGGTTACTCTTTTAGTTGCTGGATCCTGGGAAGGAGAAAAGCAGATTCAGATGGAGGGTTTTGGGGTGCCAGCTAATTACCAGTCTATATGTGTTTTAATGGTTTAACACTGTTGGTGTGGGTATGCTTGGCAGCTCCGAGACAAATATGGGGATGTCTTCACGGTGTACCTGGGGCCAAGGCCTGTGGTCATACTATGTGGGGCAGAGGCAATCCGGGAGGCCCTGGTGGACCAAGCTGAGGCCTTTTCTGGCCGGGGGAAAATCGCCGTTATTGATCAAGTCTTTCAAGGATATGGTAAGGGCCTGAGAGGCACCAGGGGAAAGGGGGGGAAGGGAATGGGGGATGGGGATTGCAGAAGGTGAATCTGGTAAGGCAGAATAGGGGTGGAGAGGGACCCAGAATCTCCTTCCAACTTCCTCTGCAACCCATGCCTGCCTCCACAGGTGTGGTGTTTGCCAATGGGGAACGCTGGAAGGCTCTTCGGCGATTTTCTCTGGCCACCATGAGGGACTTCGGGATGGGCAAGCGGAGTGTGGAGGAACGGATTCAGGAGGAGGCGCAGTGTCTGGTGGAGGAGCTTCAGAAATCCCAGGGTGAGCCTGGGGGATGGTAAGGAAAGACGGACAGCGTAATAGAGAGGATCAGGGTACACGGCAACAGAAAGACAGGATTGTACACAGGCAGAGAAAGAGAAGTAGAGATAAAGAAAGACAGAGCCAGATAGACCATCAGACAGAGGGACAGGGACACAGAGACCGATGGAGATGAGTAGGAGAGGGACACAGGGAACCAGAAGAGATGTGGGATGTATACAAACTCAAACACACACACACACACACACACACACACACACACACTATTTTTATTGATTTCAGAGAAGAAGGGAGAGGGAGAGAGAGGGGGGAGAGAGAGAGAGAGAGAGAGAGAGAGAGAGAGAGAATCATTGATTGGCTGCTGTCTGCACACCCTCTACTGGGGATTGAGCCTGAAACCTGGGCATGTGCCCTGTTCTGGAATTGAACCATGACCTCCTGGTTCATAGGTCGACACTCAATCACTGAGCCACACCAGCCAGGCCATATACTTAGATATTGGCATGCTATTTACTTGTGTTCAAGGAAAGTGATTCATAGATTAATTGTAACTATCAAAGGCAAAACAGGACTTATATAAAGGAAAGCAAAGAAATAAAAGGAAGAACTTCAGACATTGGAAAACAATGGACTGTTTTCCTTTTCTTAAGTCAACTGCTGACAAACTGGCAGTGAGGGCCGTGGGGTTTTCTGCTCTGCAGCTGGATGGGCTATCAGAGAAGCACTTCTGGTTGCTTTTAGATTCTCTTTAAAACTGATGTTTATAAGATATAAAGGTAACAGGGTCCTTTCTCAAGAGATTGCAAGATATAAGCGTAGAGGTTTGGAGGGGGGAGGCAGAGGCAGAGACACAGGAACAATAAAGGAAAAGAGACAGAAGGACTAAGAGAAAGACAGGAAGAAACAGACTGAGGTAGACAGAGAGACAGAGAAGGTGAAAGAGACAGAGATGGAGGAACCAAGTCAAAGAGAGACACACAGAGAAAAGGAAAAGCCAGAGAAAGTGAGAGAGACAGACAAGCTCAGTAAAGGGTCTGCAGAGGAACAAGAGAAGATGGACAGGTGAGACCCACAGAGAAAATGGCACCAACCAGATGACCTGACTGTTGCTCCACAGCCACCCTCCCTTCCACAGGGCTAGCCTAGCATATGCAGACATCAGTTAACAAGTGTAGAACAATTTCCTGAAGACCAGAGACCCCTAGAGGTGAACAAAGGAAGTAAGGGGAGAGACAGAAAGGGGCAGGGACAACAGAGCTTTTATACCATAATCAATTAAAAAAAATTGTACATGCAATTGATTGAACACCTGCATTGCACTCCCACTGGCTCTGGGACTTAATTGTACCTGCTCCCCAAGTCAGAACTGGGGCCTGAGAGGGAACCAACCACACAGCCTCTGTAGCTGGGCTGCCTGGGTCTGAATCCTGGCCCTTGTGATGAGTCCCTGGGTAACCTTGGTCAAATTACTTAACTTCTCTGTTTGCCCATCTATGAAATGGAGATAATAACAGAACTACACCTTCCTTACAGGGTTGAGGTGAGAATGAAATAAAATGGCACTGGCAGGCGCTCAATGGTTAGAGCATCGACCCTCATACTGAAGGGTCTCAGGTTCCATTTCTGCTCAAGGGCACATACCTCGGTTGCAGGGCATGTGTGGGAGGCAACCAATCAATGTGTCTTTCTCACTCCCCCCCACCTCCCCTCCATCCCCTCCACTCCCTATAAAAATGAAGTCAATGGAAAAAATATCCTCAGGTGACAATAAAAAATAATAAAATAAAATAATAGACTAGGGCCTGGCATATCATATGGACTAATGAGTGGTAGCTGTTATTATTCCTATTTTCTTTCTCGTTACTGAGCAATGAAGGACAGTTACACAGAGATGGGGCAGCTGCCAAGTGCTCCCCAGACATTTGAGTCTGTGTCCCTGGACCTGCCACTTCCTCCTCCTAGGAGCCCTCCAGGACCCCACCTTGATCTTCCACTCCATCACTGCCAACATCATCTGCTCCATTGTCTTTGGAAGACGCTTTGCCTACAGAGACCCTGATTTTCTGAAGCTTCTGGACATGTTCTACCAGTCCTTCGCACTCATCAGCTCCTTCTCCAGCCAGGTCAGGGAGAGGGTGAGGGAGGGTGAGGAGGAGGTGGACATCCAGGAAAGGGAAAAGGGGTGATCTGCTTTGGGGCCCCAGAAATGCAGCTTAAGGTTGGAAGATGTGCAGGACAACAGGGAGAGACAGGGCCACAGACACCTGGAGGGAGAGAGAGATGGTGAGATAAGGACTGAGAGACAAAGAGAAAGAAAGAGGAGTAATGGAGGAGGCAGAAACAGAGAGTCAGAGAATTAGAGGGAGAGAAAAGAGAGGGAAAGAGAGAAGAAGGAGGAAACAAGACAAAAAAGAGCAAAGATAAAGAGATCCTGAGAGGCAGAGTTGACAAGAATGTCAGAGAGAAAGAGAGAGAGAGAGAGAAACAGGAGACAGAGATTCCCCTCTACCAGAGGTATTAGGGCCCAGGAGGGTTGTCTCTTCCTGTGACCCACTAGCTCAGCCCCAGGAGGACCTTACAGCCCCATTGTCTCCCACAGGTGTTTGAGCTCTTCTCTGACTTCTTGAAGTACTTTCCTGGCACACACAGGCAAATCTACAGAAACATGCAGGAAGTCAAAGACTTTATTGGCCACAGTGTGGAGAAGCACAGGGAGACCCTGGACCCCAACGCCCCCCGGGACTTCATTGATACCTACCTGCTCCGCATGGACAAAGTGGGGTTTGAGAGAGGGGAATAAAAGGGGAGGGGCAGGGAGGGAGGAAAAGATGGGGGGCAGTGAGAAGAAGGGAGGGGAATGAGGAGGATGGAAGAACAGAGGATGCAAAGGGGATATTAGGAAAAGGTAGGAGGGATGAAAGAAGGAGAAACTAGGGAGGAGGCAGAGAGAGAGATGGATAGAGAGAGGGAGGGAAGAAGGGAGAGGAAGAGAAGAGTGAGCAACAGAGAGATCGGAGAAATACAGGACAAGGGACAAACAATAGGGCAATAGCTGAAAAGACCCACAGAGGCAGAAAGAGGCTGGGAGAGGAAGTGAGACAAGCACACCAAAGAGATGTTGAGATGGATTGAAACAGAGCCAGAGTGAAGAGACAGAGATAAGGATATATGGGTGGACATGAAGAGCACAGGGAAAAGTAAAATGGACCAGATGGTGTGAGAGACCCAGAAATAGGTGGGGGGGGGGGACCCTGATACATGCATGCAGCAAGGTTCCAGCCTCCCCTGATTCCAATGAACCCCACCTCTCTGGACCCAGGAGAAGTCCCACCCGAACAGCGAGTTCCACCACCAGAACCTCATCAACACCGTACTCTCTCTCTTCTTTGCGGGCACGGAGACCACCAGCACCACTCTCCGCTATGGATTCCTGCTAATGCTCAAATATCCCCACATCGCAGGTAGGCAGAGTGGGGACAGCCAATCTGGGTAGTCCTCCGATCCCTTTTTGGCCCCAGAAGCGGGGTAGGGGTCCTGCCTAAATGAGAGAGGCAGCATTTCCCTCTGAAATTAGGAACACTGCAGGTTTTAATGAACTGGCAACTAAGCCAGCCCTGTTGGATGGATGGATAAAGAATCTGTCAATCTGTTCTCCTGTTTTCACTGATCACTTAAAAATTCATTTATCCATCCATCCATCCATCCATCCATCCACCCACCCATCCATTCATCTGTCTGTGCTTTAATCCATTAATTGGTCTGTATACTTAGATTCCTTTATCTATGATTTGCCCAAGAACATACACTTTCATTCTTTATTTGGATTAATTGATTCACCTATGTGTTGAACCTTTGAAACAATGGTTAATTGAATGAACTATGTGTCGTGATTCATTGGCTCACTCATTCATTCATGCATGCATCCATCTGTTCTTCTATGAACTAGGTTTCATTTCTTAATCCTTCCATCAGTCTTTCAATTCATCCTTAACTCTTCTATCCCTTCATTTATTAATTACACAATCAATTCACTGATTTATCTTTCATTTATTCATCTGTCATCAAACCATCATCCATTTATCACTTTTTCTACTAATTTATTCATTCACTTATTCCTCCATAAATCTAGCCATCCATTTATTCAGGTAATTTATTGGTTGATTAGGTTTATTTATTTATTTGTCTATTGGTAATTATTCATTATTGATTGATAAGTAAATACATGCAGCCATTAAATAATGTTCTTCCATCCATCAGTCTTTTTATTTATGAACTAGAGGCCCAGTGCACAAAATTTGTGCAGGGGGGGGGTCCCTCAGCCCAGCCTGTGCCCTCTTGCAGTCCAGGAGCCCCTGGGGGATGTCCGACTGCCAAGGAGGCAGGAGAGGCTCCTGCCGCTGCTGCACTCGCCAGCCATGAGCCCGGCTTCTGTCTGAGCAGCACTCCCTCTATGGGAGCACACTGACCACCAGATAAAGCTCCTGCATTGAGCATCTGCCCCCTGGTGGTAATTGTGCATCATAGTGACCAGTCATTCTGCCATTTGGTCAATTTGTATATTAGCCTTTTATTATATAGGATTGGTTGATTGATATATTCATTTATTTACCCAATTATTCATGGGTTAATCTATTGATCTATTTCACTGTCATATTCCTGAGGACCTAGCACAATATGTGCCTCATTTACAATACACACAATAAATATTAGTTCATTTCCCACTCATCTTAGAGAAGAAATTTTGACAGGTGCAGAGCCTCAAGTTCTCAATCTGATATGTGATGTGTGTGTGTGCACACACATGTGCATGTGTGTTTCCCTGTGCATGTGGGGGAAAGAATCTATAACATTCATTAGATTTCAAAAAGTGAGAATTCTTCTAGCTTCCCCTTTGCTCCCCCACCCCAAGCTGATTGTTTTGAGGAATGTCAATGATTTAACACTTTACTGTAAGTTTTTAAAAATTATTATTATTATTTTATTGATTTCAGAGAGGAAGGGAGAGGGAGAGATAGAAACATCAATGATGAGAGAGAATCATTGATTGGCTGCCTCCTGCACTACACACCCCTTACTAGGGATCGAGCCCGCAACCCAGGCATGTGCCCTTGACAGGAATTAAACTAGGGACCTTTCAGTCCACAGGCCAACGCTCTATCCACTGAGCCAAATCAGCTAGGGCCTATAAGTTTTTCCTGACTCATTGGCCCATAGAAAGCAGTGTCCCTACTGAAATGTCCATTATATACACTTTTATTGATTTCAGAGAGGAAGGGAGAGGGAGAGAGAGAGACAGAAACATCAATGATGAGAGAGAATCATTGATCGGCTGTCTCCTGCACATCTCTCACCGGGGATCGTGCCTGGAACCCGGCATATGCTCTAACTAGGAATTGAACCATGACCCATGACCCCCTGGTTCATAGGTCGACGCTCAACCACTGAGCTATGCCGGCCGGGCTAAAATGCTCCTTTAAACAAGGTTCTCTTCTATGCAGAGAAAGTCCACAAGGAGATTAATCAGGTGATTGGCTCACATCGCCCTCCAGCCCTTGATGACCGGGCCAAAATGCCATACACTGAAGCAGTCATCCACGAGATTCAGAGATTCGGAGACCTGATCCCTATTGGTGTGCCCCACGTGGTCATCAAAGACACTAAATTCCGAGGGTACAACATCCCAAAGGTGAGGCCAGCCAGGCAACCACATCTCTCCTGTGTGGGATCCTGGGTTCTCTGAATCTCCAAACTTGACCTCTTGTTTTATCACTAGGGCTTCTTGTTTCATGGTGTGTTTTCAGGGTGGGGTGGTGAAGGGAATGACAATATTTTGTATCTTGTGATCATTCCTCAGGACACTGAAGTATATCCCATCCTGAACTCTGCTCTCTTTGACTCACGTTACTTTGACACACCAGACACCTTCAACCCTAACCACTTTCTGGATGCCAATGGGGCACTGAAGAAGAATGAAGCTTTTATACCCTTCTCCCTAGGTAAGCTGGATCTGCACTCGCTTCCCAGACACCAGAGTGCAGGTGTCTTCACCTCCTTGAGACATCAAGGAGAGGCTTTTGTTTATTGAGCAGTTAGTACATGCCAGCTGCTTTACCTTCATTATCCCATCCCATATGCACTACAACCCTAGAAGAGGTTTAAAAGGTGAGATCACAGCCCAGTGGCACACCTTGGTATGCTGGACCTTGGAAAGTATGTTAACCTCTCTATATCTCGGTATAAGATATCTGTTGAGCAGTGTACTCTGAGCCCAGTGCTTTACTGGGGGCTGAAGATAATGCATCAGACCAGTCACGTAGACAGAGAAACATTATCTGTCAGGATGTGAAGACAGAAAACAAAACAAAACAGCTAGCTGCCATGAGCAGAAGGAAAGACAAACTTAATCAAAGAGGTGTTAGAGACAAATGTCTACTGAAGGGTCCAAAGGACAGCCCAAGGATGGAAGGACAGAGTGGGAGGGAGATAACAGGCTCTTCTAGAATGAGGTGGGTCACGGAGCCAGTTACAGGAGAGGAACCATGCCAGAGCCCTGCCCTGAAGATTTTTTGCTCATGTGTCCTAACTTCTAGGTGTGCCAAAAATGTGAACCCTTCCCCAGATACCTCCACACAGGCACAATGTCCAACAACTTGAAAGGTTTAGGTAATGCCTGGAAACCCATCCTTGAAATGGCCTTTTCAAGGTGGTCAGCTTGCAGATTAGGAACCAATGAATTAATGGAGGAGACTCTCCATTAATGCCTGACCTTTCTGGATCCCTTTGCCCTCATTTCTCTCCAAGCCAGTGATTCATAACCTATTGGGAGGGGGGGGGGGGTACACTTCTGAGAATCTGATGGAAGCCATGCACCTACCTCACATACATAAATCCCATTCACAAGTTTATGTGCAATATGGGGTTTTTTTTCCCTTAAAACTGAGATAAGAAACAAAACAGAGATAAGAAAGGAAACAGAAACATACTCAAAGAAACAAAGAACAAACTGATGGTTACCAGAGGCAAGGACGCTTGGGGGACTGGGTGAAAAGGTGAAGGGAGTTAGAAGTACAAATTGGTAGTTACAGAATATTCACGGGGATGTAAAGTACGGTTTATGGAATATAGTCAATAATATTGAAATACCTATGTATGGTGTCAGTTGTATAGTGGACTCATAGTGCTGTACACTTGAAACTAATATAAAAGAATATTGAATGCCAACTGTAAATGAAAATAAATAAATAAATAAATAAAACAACCCAGAGATAGAAAATCACAGGCAGTGCCAGACATTCAGCCCAGTCTCCACCACACATACCTGAAAAAACACACCAAGTACCATCTACACCTATAGGATCCTTAGTGTGAACCAGAAGCTCTTTGAATAATTCTTTCATTTTGTTAATCCTCACCTGAGGTTTTTTTTCCCATTGATTTTTAGAGAGAGTGCAAGGGAGTGGGGGAGGGAGGGAGGGAGAGAGAGAGAAACATCAATGTGAAAGAGACACATCAATTGGTTGCCTCCCGCACGTGCCCTGACTGAAACCCAGATATATGCCCTTGACAAGGAATCAAATCCTGGACCCTTCAGTGTGCAGGCCAACACTCTAATCACCGAGCCACACCAGCCAGAGCTTTTCTAAGAATTTTTACAAATATTAACAATTCTCCAAATGTTGTCAGAACTATGCCCACATCTACACATGTGGAGGTGCGCATGCACACACATACACACATCCAACCCAATGATAGTCCTTAGACCAGGGGTGGGCAAACTTTTTGACTTGAGGGCCACAATGCGTTCTTAAACTGGACCGGAGGGCCGGAACAAAAGCATGGATGGAGTGTTTGTGTGAACTAATATAAATTCAAAGTAAACATCATTACATAAAAGGGTACGGTCTTTTTTTTTTTTTTAGTTTTATTCATTTCAAACGGGCCGGATCCGGCCCGCGGGCTGTAGTTTGCCCACGGCTGCCTTAGACTCTGTGAGGTCAACCGAACCTTTGGAAATCTAACAGAAGCTACAATCTTCCCTGGAAAGATATACATCAAAGATTTGCACCTGGTTTTAGAGGTTTGGGGACACACTAAAAGTCTACCCTGAATTGCAAGTGAAAGGCCAATCCCATCCAAACCAGTTGCAATGGACACAGGTGTCTGGACTTTGGGCAAAGAATATGCATCCAGCCCAGCAGGTGGCTGAGCATTGACCTATGAACCAGGAGGTCACAATTCGATTCCTGGTCAGGGCACATGCCCAGGTTGTGGGCTTGATCCCCAGTAGAGGCTGTGCAGGAGGCAGTCAATCAATGATTCTCTCTCATCAATGGTGTTTCTATCTCTCTCTCCTCTCCCTTCCTCCTTCCTCTATTTGAAATCAATAAAAATATATTTTAAACACACACACACACACACACACACACGAATATGCATCCACTCCAGGTCCACATTGTTGATCTTCTGTGCCCACAGGGAAGCGCATTTGTCTTGGCGAAGGTATAGCCCGTGCGGAATTATTCCTCTTCTTCACCACCATCCTCCAGAATTTCTCCGTGGCCAGTCCCATGGCCCCTGAGGACATTGACCTCACACCCCGGGAGTGTGGAGTGGGCAAGCTGCCCCCAGTGTACCAGATCCGATTCCTGTCCCGCTGAGGGGGTTGAAGGAAGGAGATCAAAGGATCCCAGGGTCATGAAGTATTCCCACCTCTGCAGGGATGTTGCCTGACTCTACCCATGTTCTGCATCTGAGAGATCTGCTACAAGCCAGTCTCCTTCTTCCTCCTTGGTTGCCACCTCCACGAGAATGTCCATTCTGCAGCCTGCCTCCTTCCATCATGCTGCAGCTCTTCTAAAGACTCAAGGAGGTGTTCTCCTTTCCTCTGTTAATAGAATTCCAGAAGTGGTGTATATATAGAAATTGGAGGCTGAAAGTGAAAACTCAGCTGAGGATCTCTCTGCAGTTCTGCCTCCTAGGCCACTGCTCACCCTGAGTGACTTCTCCCTTCCTTAGAACAACCACAGCCTCCATTTAACAACTCCTTGTGCTCCATACATGATCTTGCTTGAATACTACTCCCAGTAGCCCCATGTGGTGGGTACAATGATCATGTCCATTGTACAGATGAGTACACAGAGGCGGGGCAATGGCATCAGTTGTCTGAGGTCACATGGTTAGTGAGTGCAGGTGCAAGACTCACACTCAGTCTCTGTGTCTCTAGAACTCAAACTCTCTATCAAAGCTCCTCCCACCCATATATTTTTAAATTAATCTGAAACTCAGAGACAAAAAAATCAACCATTTTTACTAGTGTAATTTAGTGCTTTCTGGATTTGCCTCTTCTGCATAATTCGTATAGTGAAATCACATAATATGTGGCCTTTTGTGAATGGCTTTTTTCACTTAGCATGATATTTTTGAGGTTCATCCACATTGTAGACTGTAGTTGTGCCCTGCCATTGTCCAGCTGTCTCCTCATTTTACTGCCTTTCCCTTTCCTTTTCAATATAAAAGGGCCTCCTCAGCCCAGGGCCTCCTGACCTGTGTGGTTATAAACTGGTGCCTTGGATTCCCCGATATACCTCTTCAAATGCACTGAGACTCAAATAAACATCCAAAACCTGACACCTCCAGGTCAGGTGGTGATCCATGCCACTTTATGTGTGACTCATTTATTTTCAAGGCACTAGGAATATTTCCAGAAGGTGAAAATTTCTACTTCACCTCAATGCCAGCTCCATGAAGGCAAACCCGTTGTCTTGTTCATCACTGTTCTCTCAGCACAAAGAACCCTGTGTGGCATATGACAGGTGTTAAAAATATTTGTTCAGAAATGAATGAAGGAATGAATGAATGGTTAGCTCAGACAATCCTCCAAAGTACCAACATGGAAATA